TCTGTACAAATTATTACACAAATGTTCATGGAAAACTAAGAGTGGTAAAAATAATTTTTGGTTGTTTTAAAATCTATAGTTTGTGTACAAATTATTACACAAATGTTCATGGAAAACTAAGAGTGGTAAAAATAATTTTTGGTTGTTTTAAAATCTATAGTTTGTGTACAAATTATTACACAAATGTTCATGGAAAACTAAGAGTGGTAAAAATAATTTTTGGTTGTTTTAAAATCTATAGTTTGTGTACAAATTATTACACAAATATTCCCAAACTATAGATTTTAAAACAACCAAAAATTATTTTTTACATCCTAGTTTTACTGGGAATATTTGTGTAATAATTTGTACACAAACTATAGATTTTAAAACAACCAAAAATTATTTTTACCACTCCTAGTTTTACTGTGTACAAATTATCACATAAATGTTCATGGAAAACTAAGAGTGGTAAAAGGGACTCGAGTGTTTTAAAAACTACATTTTGCATATTAAGTGTCAAAACATATTTCTTTATAGTTAATCAATATGGCATGTTAGTGAGAATAAATATTGAAGAAAAAAATTAATATAATTATTTATCTTTGTTTTATCTTATTAAGCTGCTTTTCTGTTTGTTTGTAGTTATCAAAAAGAGAAAAGGCAAATTTCAACTACCAGAACAAACTCAAAGAAAGGTTTGCTGCTCACCCACAAGTCAAGAGAATAGCTCGTCATCGCCATGTGCCCAAGCATATTTACAATGCCACCCGAGAAAAACGTGTGATGCAGGAATCTCGCAAACGAAAGTATGTCATGCTTTACTTACAGATAATGTAAGGCCTTTAGTTTTAGTGAATAGTAACGTTTCAAAGTATGTCATGCTTTACTTACATATAATGTAAGGCCTTTAGTTTTAGTGAATAGTAACGCTTCAAAGTATGTCATGCTTTACTTACATATAATGTAAGGCCTTTAGTTTTAGTGAATAGTAACGCTTCAAAGTATGTCATGTTTTACTTACATATAATGTAAGGCCTTTAGTTTTAGTGAATAGTAACATTTCAGAGTATGTCATGCTTTACTTACATATAATGTAAGGCCTTTAGTTTTAGTGAATAGTAACATTTCAGAGTATGTCATGTTTTACTTACATATAAGGCCTTTAGTTTTAGTGAATAGAAATGTTTCAACTACATCAAATGTTTTGATTCTTCAATACACAAAATTAAGGAAAAAAATGTTTTGCAATCAGTAATTTTCAATTTAAAATTAAAAATTGAATTTTGTTACTCATGAAACTTGTGTAATGAAAAATGCTTCTGTTTATAATCATAAACTATTTTTTAAGCGGAAAAATATTTTCAAGAGGATTTAAAAGTCTTATCGGCAAAAACATTTTTGTAAAAGTTTAGTGTTTTTGACAAAGCAACTATTTGACACTAAACATTCCTTATTATCTGAACAGGGAAGCTAACAGACGAGCACACAGCAAGCCAGGTACTGTACCGTATGTTCCAGAGATAGTTAAGCACATCGTCAAGGAAGATGAGTGAAGGACACAGTGCTAATCTTTGTAATGGTTTTATGAATGTGAATAAAACTTTGAAAAATTTTTGACACATTCCTCTTTATTGCAAATGTTTTTAAATGAATACGTATATTGTGTATAAGGTATTCTTTGCCTGTTTCTAATTTTGTAGCACATTGTCTGTGTTTCATTTTGTTTTTAACCAAGATAGTGTTGTGGTAAGATAAAAAAAACTGATACATTGTGGAAACTCTTATGAGAGGAAAATAAGTTGTAGCAGTAAGAAATGAGGAAGCTGCTACACAGAAAAACAAACTGTTACAAAAAGTGTAATGGTTTATTTCACTAATATAACAAATAATTCCACTTGTGTAGCAGCTTCTGTTACTTTGTCAAAGCTTACTATTTCACCTATATGGTGATTTATATACTGTGTAACACCTTTCACTCCTTTTGTAACAGTTTGTTTTTCTGTGTAGCAACTTCCTCATTTCTTACTGCTACAACGGATAATACAAACTGTTACAAAAGTAAGGAATGAATTATTTTTTAGAAGTATAAATTGGTATAATAAGCTATTATGTAAGTGAAATAAAGTGTTACAAAAGCAATGAGTGATCTTATTACAAAATACGTAATAAGAACTTTCGTATAGTTAAGAATTTTGTTTTCAAATTTCCCTTTTCGTACAGAAATTTAGAGGTTTCTTGTTGAAACAAAAATTTTTTTCACTTGATAAATCCAATGGATTAGGGTTAGTAGAAGCAATTATGTTTCGACAATGAATATTTAAGAATTTAAAAAAGAAAGCGAAGTGAAAGACATTATGAGTATAAACTGTAGTTGACTTCTCATCATATCATAGGTACATAAATTTTAAAATTTATTTTAGATCTATCTGTTGCTTGAAAGAGTATTTTGGTCACAAGTACATAAGGTTTTCAATGAAAAATGAAAAAAATGTATTTAATCAGATGTTTATCAAAATACTTAAATGATATTTTTTTTCATCAATGTTTAAGCAATGTTCTGCGTTAAAATAATGACTCTCTATACTTTGCAACTTTTTCGTATGCGACTAAATAACCAAAGACTTAATTAACGTAATATCCTCAGAATATATAGGCTTGTGCATTGTCCTTTAGATTTTTGGTTTAAATATCCTTCTTCAGAATTGTGAAAAAGTGAGTCATTGTTTGCCCAAAATTCTGATTTCAGACTGAAAACTTGATACGAATATGTTTAACTTCACAAATTTAGTTGAAAGTGCACCATGACCATACTAATACAATGGTAGAAAAGTATTTAACTTGATAGTAGAGAATAGTTTTTCATAATTCTTAAAAAACAACTTTAATCTGTGATGTTCATCCTACCTTAGGAGCACTCTTCAGTACAACAGTACTTTTGGTATTATTAACACAGTAATGAAATACAAATAGAAATTTTACTGTTGAATTAGTGTAAGTAATTCAAGGTTGTTTGAATTGCAACTAGGCAATACAAAGATACTTTGTTGTTCACGATTGTTGGTTGTGTGGGTGTAGGCAATACACAGATACTTTACTGTTCAAGGTTGTTGGTTGTGTTAGTGTGGGCAGTACAAATATATTTTGTTCTTCAATGTTGTTGGTTGTGTTAGTGTAGGTAATACAAAGATATTTTGTTCTTCAATGTTGTTGGTTGTGTTAGTGTAGGTAGCACAAAGATATTTTGTACAAAGAAGATGGAAACGAGAAGTGGCAAATCAAACTACAGCTTAGCAGATTTGATAGCAGCAATACAAGAACAGCAAAAGAAACAAGAAGAACGAGGAAAAAACAAGAAGAGAGATTACAGCAGTTGTTGAAGGAAAAAGAAAATAAACAAGAAGAGAAATTACAGCACTTGTTGAAGAAAAAAGAAAAGAAACAGGAAGAACGAGAAAAGAAACAAGAAGAGAGACAACAGCAGTGGCAAGAAAACCTGCAACAGTGGCAGCTCGAACAGCAAGATAAACAAGAGAGATTACAGCAGTTGTTGGAGGAAAAAGAAAAGAAACAAGAAGTACAAGAAAAGAAATAAGAAGAGAAATTACAGCAGTGACAACTCGAACAAGAAAGGAAACAGGAAGAAAGTCTCCAACAGTTGCAGGAAAGTCAGCAGCAACTCAGGAAAGTCAACAACAGTGGTAAGAAGTACAAATGGAAAACATTAGCAAATTTCAAAGTGAATTAAATACATTAAAGGATGATTTACTGTCTTTTACGCAAGGAGGATATATTACCCATCGACCTAATCAGCCGCAGGCAATGGGAAGCCCCTTCCAGACCCCGCAGCTAAACCCAGATGCAGACATCTTCAGTTCTGTTAGAAGTCACATCCCAGATATGAATGTCAGCAATAGGGGTAATCTAGTACGAAGGAAGCCACAGGAATTCGATTGGATGGCACCGTGGGAAGCATATAGAGCACAATTTGAGCTCCTGGCAGAGATGAATGGATGGACAGAAGAGCAGAAAGCAGTATATCTGGCAACGAGCTTGAAAGGACAACCACTGGAAATACTTGGATAGTTGTCAGCAGACGACAGGCACAACTATAGAGCATTTGTAGAGGCTCTAGAACTAAGGTATCGAACCCAAAATCAGTCTGAAGTCTACAGGGCTAGGTTTAGGACGAGAGTCCATGCTAAAGGGGAGAGCCTGCAAGAGCTGGCACAGGACTTGAAAGTATGGCACACAAGGCCTACCCAATTGCACCACCCGATTTCCTCAAGCTGTTGCTGAGGGATCAGTTTGTAGATGCCTTAGACAGTCTACAACTG